TGGACAGAAGAAGCCTGTAGAAGCTGAACAATTTCTTTTTAATCATTTCACTCCAAGCAAGGCAATAAAATCACTCAAACGCAAGGTATTACTGAGTGTGAAAGAATACGAGAAAAAGAAAACGTTATTAAGGAGAGAGAACAATAAAAATCAGGAATTAAGAAGACAGAAGATAACGATTCATATTGCGTTTAATTTTTTGATGGAAAAGCAAGAAGTCAGAAGAGAAAAGTGCGAGAGAAGAAACTGTTGGCATAGAATTTACGGTTGCATCTAGATATTTGTACTGTAAAATGATGAAACCTTGCCAACAATTTAGTAGTACACTTAAATTCATAAAGTTTAGGCACCAAAGCGGAAAGATCATCAGAAGAAGTGCTATGAAAATATTTATAGAAAAGGCACAGGGAAGCTACATTACGACAGCGAGAAACTGACTGAAGCCGATGTACATAATGTTTATATAAATAAAAGAAAATATTTTAATTACATTTTCTTTATGTTATATATATATTATAATATGTTTTACTATGTTGATATCATTCCAAAATAAAATTTGTAAGGTGGAGATATTTTTTCCTTGTAGATAAAAAGCCGAAGTAGAACCAAAATTTATTTGTCCGAGTACGGTTGACGAGATACCTCATTAATTAATTGATTCGTTTTCTACGATTTATAAGCACTTTGCAGGTTATTTAAAGCCAGAAAATATTTTTTCAAGATAATAATGGTTTAGTGATACATGTCTTACTAATTAAGCCATAACTGGGGAAAAAGAGGTGGATTTATACATTTACCAAAAGTTTTAAGTTAATATAACGAACCCAACTGGAACTGGAACTCCACACTGTGATTAACAATTATAAGCCATTATCCACTACACTGCAAATCTAAGCTGACAGCACCTGGTATTCCCAAGCGGTCACCCATCTAGGTACTGACTAAGCTCGACGTTGCCTAACTTAGCCGATTGTAGAAGAACTGGTGTTTAAAAGTTATATGACTGTAAGCCATACCAGTCGCACATATCACTTTACTGCACCTGATATTCTCGAGCGGTCACCCATCTAGGTACTGACCATGGTCGATGCTGCTTAACTTCAGTAATAGTAGGGGAAATCGGATTTTCAACGTGATGTGGTCGTAAGCCAAAAATAACTGAACAACAGTAACAAGATGGAGTAATATTAGTAATCGATTAATAATATTTTAATTCAAAAGAGTATATGAAGATAAAGTACGTATATTCGTGTTTGCATAAAGAGGAACGGGAATTGGAACTCGGCTCACTGATTAATAATTCCGAACTATTATTCATTACACCACCCGTACATCCAAGCTTAGAGCACCTGGTATTCCCAGAGATACCTCATCAATATGACATCATGCGTTAACTTTGACAGTATGTAGGATCATTTTTCAGTGAGAAATAGTTATGTTTTAAATTAAAAAATAAATCTCAATTGGGGAGAAAAAGAGTACACGTATGTATATCGTATGTAAACGATGTTGGCCCCCTTGCGAAGTACAGGGTTACATCCTCACCACACAAGATGTTGCTGCGGTCGTCCCCGTAGCAAGTGGGCATAACAGCATGGGTTGTTTGCCTCACACTATCCGGCTATTAATTCAGAATTATCTTTCTTCTCGGCTGGTTGACATTCAAAGCTAGAGAACCAAATATGTGCTTCTATTGACTGTTATCTGAGGCAGGTAAGAAGAGATGGATTCGCAGCTTTCCAAAGAGTATTTGTGTGAAAACGAACGCAAGGACTTCGGTGAAATTTAAACTTTACAAGTCAATTCCATTTCCCGCATATTCATATATATTCCAGAATTGCGTTAAAAGCTATGTTTCTTTGTTTTACAAGAGGACATTTCTTGCGTTGGCTGGCCATTTCTTTGTTTTCTTCAAGAAAGAAGTGATCCAGGTGCATTACCCGTGTTTGTTTAACTGCTGATATAAACCTTCTTTAAGCACGCCGGGTCATATAACGACATTGATTGATTCCAGATGACATATGCCTACTTCGATCATCAAAGCAGGCTTTTGGAAAAGACTTCCATAATCCTTCGTTCTGATTCGGCTGATGAGAAAACAGACATTTCCATGTTGAGTTGCTTCTATTTTATCTCTAATGAACCAAAAAAAGGAAAAAAAAAAATGCTGATCCTTGAAAAAATAATCTTCAGCGATAATCTACCTCTTTCAGTTTTACAAGAGATATAATCTGATTAAAAACACGCGTATAAACGCACGCCATTGATGATTGATGCTTGCAGCGATGTTTGCTGTCTAAGATCCGAAACCTAAATGAATAGATATTTGCTTGGTTGATTATAGCATGAAATAAGGTCAGAAGGAACAGACTCAGTGCAACAATCATGATATGAAAGAATAACCTGCTATTCTTTATTTTATTTATTTATATATTTATTTATTTTTTACAATGATGTTCACTCTGTACAAGGCTCAAGAGACACTCGAAGAAGAGGGTTACAGAGTAAAAGTCATAGTTTATGGGGATATCTGGGGAAGATAACGATTAACCCTAGATTTGAATAGGTTAAGATTGTAGTGATCGAGGAAGCACTCTCTTGGGAGTCGATTCCACAAAGCAGCATTTCGTGGAAATAAGATGTTCGAGTGAAACTTACATCTCACTAATGGAATACAAAAAGAATGGGGGTGGTTTTCTAAAGTGTGTCTGGCACAAGGCACTAGACAGATATAAAGCTGGAACATCAGTTTTGCTAATCTCAATGTAACCTCGCGTCTGATAACCTTCAGTCTCGTACTGCCAAATCAGGACTGATATTTTTGTGACTTAATTTATTCTTAGAGTCCGATACTTGAGAATGCCAGATTCATCTTTCTTCTATTGTTTCCCGTTAAAAATGAGCGATATTTTCTAAGATCCGAAAAATTAAATGAAGAGATAGTTACTTGGTTGAGTTTAGCATGAGATAAGGTCAGAACGATGGAACAGACTCACTGTGCAACGTCGTCAGAACCCGCTTGCATCCAAGCATCGGGATTGTCATATCTTCCCTTTCTTCCCTCCCGTGACGGTGACAGAGATGGCTGTGAAGGCCCAGCCTACTCCTGAAGAGTCGTGAGCAGGAGTCGCAGAGGAGTGTGAGTGGCGGACGCAGCTAGGCGAGTCGACTCCCCCCCCCCGACAGCACGTCGTAGATCCTCTTCATACTGACAGTTGGACTCGAAAGTCTCACTCCCTGCTCGAATGGTTCTAAATCAGGAAGGCTGATTTGCAGCAGTGGTTTCTCTGGTCTCAGGATCGATGTTGGCCTGTATCAGGGATGCTTTCAACTGATCCTTGAAGCGTTGTTTTGGGTCTCCGCGCAGCCTGTTGTCGCTGACGAGTTCTCCAAACAAGATGATACATGGAAATTGAATGGGAAAAATTCTGGATACGTGACCCGCTCAGTGGAGGCGATGCTGATGGATGGTAGTCACGATGCTGGGGAGAGATGTCCGAGAGAAGACCTCGTTGTTTGGTGATGCAGTCCTCCCAACTGATGGGAAAGATTCTTTGCAACAATCCTGATTCTGTGCAACAATCTTGATCTGAAAGAATAACATGCTACCCGTTATGCTACAAAGAAGAGTCTCCTTGCGTATTTACTTCGCTGGGTACGGCATAAAAGCCATCTGCGTATTGTACTCAGTGATGATTGAATTCACCACGCTGTACTAAATCTCTGCTATAATAACTAAGTTACTAAATAGTTAATGGAAAAGGACAAAGATGTAAGAATCATGCGTGCGTTTGTATTTATAAAGAACTTAGTGTAAAAGGACTCCTGTATTAAGAGCTGACATAACGAGCTCACTAGCAGGAACTGGATGGCGGTCAGGTAACACCTTACTTGGCGAAAAGTTAATTTCAATATACCCTCCTTCACACCATTAGGCGTATTGGGATAGCGAAAGAGGCATTCTAAAAGCAAAGCTATTTATTAAGCAACAGGAAAAAAATCGTTAGAAACAAAGAAAAGAGCACTGAACTATTACACAATGTCAATCCACCATATAGTGTAGAGAATGCTGGGCAATCTCCTCACATATGAAGAAGTGACTTGAAGCAACAGAAATGTAAATGTTTCGAGCCATTATCCATTACCCCATCTGAGCTTACAGTCACATTTTGCTATCGTAGCGTGGATGGTTGATGGGTGAGCAATCAAAGGAAATTTTAAAAAAATCAGGAGTGCTATTTTCTTTTTTCTTTTTCATCAATTTTTTCATTGTAATAGAGAACATTCTTGAAACGATACAACTAACATTCTAACTCGTCAGGTTCATGACACGTCGTCACGTTTCTGACGTAACATCCTTGTTCATAGCAACTTAAATGGTAATTTCATTTGACGCTATTAATCACATGGTTAAAAAAGGTTACGTTTCTTGCCTCATCAGCCGATATTCAGATTGCCAATATGTTAATAGGTTTAACAAGTTATTGCAAAAGAAGTGGGATCTGTGGCGAAGTGAGCATACTGGAAGGTGAGGTGATCGTGAAATTCTGAGTCAACCACTCTTGAGTGACGCGGGCTGTAAGAGAGATAAGAAATATCTGATGGAACATGTACGGCCACCCCCTTGATCCAGGTCTTGATCATCGTGTCCAGCATCTTGATCCAAACAGTGTCATTAAACTTGAGGCCGTACTGGAAGAAGTGGGGTCGCATGACCCCCTACCACACTTTCTCTCTTTGCTCACGGTACCCAGTGTAATGGATATCGACACGGAATGAGAAATCAGAAGCATGCTATGAGTTAGGACTTCTGTCTAGAAAAATCATTGTTATTCTCTAAAAATTCTTATTTCAGTATCCACTCCCCAAAAGTAATTATCCTTACAATTCAAAATATACTTCAGCTTTAAATCCATAAATGATTGATAAAAACCGTAAAAAATCAATCAAGACCTTTAGAAACCTCACAAACGGTGTTTAAATGTCGTCTCTCCTGTTCACCATATCACGCTGAAACACCGGTCCCCGTACGGTCACCGAAGTTAAGCAGCATCAAACCTGGTCAGTACCTAGATGGGTGATCGCTTGAGAACACCAGGAGCTGTAAAGTTGGATGTGCGTGTGGTGTAATGAAGAATTGTTAATCAGAGAGCTGAGTTCCAATTCCAGCTGAGTTCGTTAAATTCGCTTACGAGCAAATGCTCTTGGGAAAGGTATGAATACACCTCTTCTTCCCTCTGCTATAGATTAACTAATAAACCATTATTATCTCCTCCCACCAACGAAGTTCTTACAATCGAAAAATATTTTCTGGCTTTAAATAACCTGCAATGGGTTTATGAGCCGTAGAAAACGAATCAATCAATCTATCAACTCATTATGTTTCTTTCAAGAAATTCTTTTTCACTTAATGAACAAAATACCGAAGAGTACAGATTGATTGACGAATAAATATGGCGTACGTCAGTGTGGGTGGTTTGGGCAGGAAAGTGACTGACAATAAAGAAATATTAGAATTTGTAAGCTACAAATATTTTATTGTCATACTGATTTTGACAAAATAAAAGTAAAGAGACCCAATAGAAATGAAATGGAGAAATAAACTTTAACTACGGATGGATTATAAAAATTCGACATATAAAGTAAATATAATACTCTTTGAATTTATTAGATGAAGTATTTTTATTAATAATTCTGGACTAGTGGTTACTTCACCTCAATTTTGTTGTCTTTCATTACAACGTTCAGGTCATTTTACATTCTACGACCATTAAGCACCCAATATAGATGCGAATTGAAGAAGATTTTAATGTCGTAATCCTGAGGAGCCTATTCGACATGGACGCCTCATTAATTTAGATACCATTTGCTACTTCGATTTCACGAATTTAAACGCAGCAAATGGGTCTCATCATTTTGACTGCTAGATGTAACCATAAGTTGTATTCCATTAGTTTATTCTCTCGCACTTCTGGCCTGTGAAACTTTTCTGTCCTCTTGCTTTCCCGTCAACTACAAGAATTCAAAAGCAACGTCAATCGTCTCCGGTTTTCTTGAAACCAGTTCTTTTATTGACCTCTCTCCACAACATAATTTTCTCAGTTTCTTTTATTTTCAGTAACTCCTTGTTGCTTACTCTTTTATCGCCTGGCTTGGAGTTAAAAAAATTTTTTTACAAATAATTTTTTAAAAAGTTAATTTTTTTAATAAAAGAAATGTGTATAATATTTGGAATACTAATTATTTGTGAAGCGTCATGACTTCTTACGAATAGTAGTAGAGTGGTTTGACCACTTTTATACTTACATAAGCTCTATCCGTGATATTGAGCACTTTTACCTATAAATATCTTCTTCTATGTGCCATGTTCTTTCGGGACCCTGGGGACCATGGCTCTCAACAATTTTTTTATCCTTTGAAGTTCTTAATATTTTTCATTTTGTTAACTCTCCTAAATCTTGTTCCGGGATCCATTTACTTAAGCTGGTTAAAATTATAGTATACCTTAAAATTATATATATATATATATATATATATATATATATATATACCGGGTGTAAAAACAAAATTGTCCAAATCGTGTAACAGCATAATTGTTTTTAAACACAAATGTTTAATATCTAAAACATATAAACTGAGTTTATGTTTATATTCTCCAGGTTTTCAGATAAGACGTTTAGCCATCTTGACACCATTTGTCGTAAAAATTACTGAAAATCCCTTTGACTTATTCAGCTAAGACGAGAGCAGGATAAAATCGTTTTGTGTCAGCCCCACTGTCTTTCGAACTGAGCGATGGTGAGAGGAAAAAGATAATCCAGGCCTTCATAATGATACTAACACTCACACTCTGGCTTCCATCTTCAAAGCCTATTCAAGTGAATGGTGAATATGTTTTAAAAAGAGGTAACAGTAGAGAGGAAAATTGGATCAGAAGGTCACAGCAGGAACAGGGATCAGCTTTTCATCTAAAAGATCAAGAGATCAATTAGAAAAGATCCAACTCAATCCATAAGACTTTTGGCACGTGAGAGAGGAGTATCAGCTATGACAGTCTAAAGAGCAGTGAAGACAGACTTGAAACCTGTGAGGCATCTTGCTACTTCAGGAGAGAAAGTTACACGGATATAGAGGGTGAAGATCATCTTAAATAAGATGGAAAATAATCCTGGAATATATATATATATATATATATATATATATATATATATATATATTTGAACGTAATTTCAATCCGACATGAGTTTCCGATCCTTAGCTATGATTAATTATGAACATGTCATTTTCGTTTATGATGGATTTCATCACAATTCTTCTGTTAAGCTTGGAGAGTAATTATGCATTCTTATTGCTCAAAGTAGAACCCAATAGTGTTATAAAATCCCCGAAGAATTTCAGTAAGATATCTTTAATCATTTCTAAGATACAACTGTTCAATGATTAATCTAACAAATGGGAAATTTGACTTTTACATAATTTGATATATATATATATATGTATATATATATATATATATATATATATACTGACATCCACAGACAGACTGTTTCACTGTATCACAGCTCATCAGTGTGGCTAGACGTCTGGTTGTCTCTAGCTAGGATCAA